CGATTGAAATCTGTGGAGGGAGCTGAAAGTTAGAGCCGCCAAATATCAGCCACCAAACCTTAATGACTTGGAGAGGATCTGCCAAGAGGAGTGGGCCAAATTTCCTCCTGAAATGTGTGCAAACCTGGTGGCCAACTACAGGAAACGTCTGAGCTCTGTGATTGCCAACAAGGGATTTTCAACAAGTACTAAGTCATGTTTTGTGAAGGGATCAAATATTTATTTCCCTCATGAACATGCAAATCAGGGCATCATTTGTTAGACATGCATTTCTTTTTAATTTTGTTGTTGCTATTCTGTCTGTTACAATACACCTACCATTCAATTTTTAGACTGATCATTTCTTTGTGAGTGGGCAAACATTCAAGATCAGCAGGGGATCAAATACTTATTTCCTTCACTGTATAGGTTTTTTTAGAGGCTTATAAGGTACAGGTACACAGTACATTCACAGAAGATATAGATTGCAGCTTAATTCTGTTGACACTGCGATTATCCTCATTACAAGCACAGAAGTGTTCTAAATGGCACATACAGTTAAGTCCCATATATATCTGGACACAGGCACAATTTTAAATGTTTTCAGGTATTTGCTAAAACATATTCAAGCTATAGTTCTATAATGGATGTGGGCTGAAAGTGCGCACACTCAGGTTTAATTTGAGGGTATGTACATCCAAATTGGAGGAAGGGTTTAGGAATTACAGCTCTTAAGAGTAGCCATCCCCCCTTTATCAGGACCAAAAGTAATTGGACAATTGAATCAAAAGCTGTTTCATGGCCGGGTGTGGGCTACTCCTTTTTGTTTCTTCATAAATTACAGTAAGCAGGTAAAAGGTCTGGAGATGATTCGAAGTATGCTATTTGCATTTGGAATCTATTGCTGTGAACATACATCATGCGTTCTAAGGAACTGTACATGCAATTGAAACAGGCCATTGTAAGGCTTCAAAAACTGAAACAAACCCATCAGAGAAGCAACATTAGGAGTGGCCAAATCAACAGTTTGGTACATTCTGAGGAAAGAAGGCCGCACTGGTGAGCTCAGCAACATGAAAAGGCATGGATGTCCACAGAAGACAACAGTGGTGGATGCTTACAGGATCCTCTCTATGGTAAAGAAAAACCCATTTGCAACATCCAGACAAATGAAGGACACTCGCCAGGAGGTGGGCGAATCATTGTCAAAGTCTACAATCAAAATAAGACTTCACAAGAGCAAATACAGAGGGTTCCCCACAAGGTGCAAACCATTCATAAGCCTGAATAATAGAAAAGCCAGATTAGACTTTGCCAATAAACATCTTAAAAAAAAAAAAAAAAAAAAAAGCCAGACCAGTTTTGGAAAAGCATTCTTTGGATGGATGAAACTAAGATTACTGTGTACCAGAATGACAGGAAGAAAAAAGTGTGGAGAAGGCTTGGAACAGCTCATGATCCAAAGCACACAATGTTACCTGTAAAACATGGTGGAGGCAGTGTGATGGCATGGGCATGCATGGCTTCCAGGGGCACTGGGTCATTGGTGTTAATTGATGATGTGACAGACGCAGGCGGATGAATTCTGCAGTGTTCATAGATATGCTGCCAGCACAGATTCAGCCAAATGCAGCAAAGTTGATTTGGACGGCGCTTCACAGTACAGATGGACAATGATCCAAAACACACTGCAAAAGCAACCCAAGAGCTTTTGAAGGAAAAGTGGAATATTCTGCAATGGCCAAGTCAATCACCTGATCTCAACCCAACTGAGCATGCATTTCATTTGCTGAAGGCAAAACAGAGGCATAAAGTCCCACAAACAAAGAACAACTGAGGACAGCTGTAGTTAGAGCCTGGCAAAGCATCAGAAAGGAGGAAACCCACTCTTTGGTAACATCCATGGGTTCCAGACTTTAGGCAGTCATTGCCAGTAAAGGATTCTCAACAAAATATTAAAAATGAACATTTTATTTATGATTATATTAATTTGTCTAATTACTTTTGGTCCGTTGAAAAAAGGGGTGATGGCTAATCTTAAGAGCTGTAATTCCTAAACCCTTCCTCCAATGTGGATGTACATACCATCACATTAAACCTGAAAGTGTGCACTTTCAGCCCATATCCATTATATAACTATAGCTTGAATATGTTTTGGTAAATACCTGAAAAAAACTAAAATTGTGCCTGTGTCCAAATATATATGGACCCAACTGTAATGTTTACTTTCTAGAGGCTAGTGTCCATAAGCGGGTGACACAAATGCACACAAGCAGGTGACACAAATGCAGCAGTCTTGGTATAGCTGGGATATATCTACCAACTCTGATAGTCTGTCTTCTCAAATGCAACAGTGATGATAGGCAGGACTCCAGAGGATCCCTGTTCTGTCCCTGAGGCTGGAACACTCTTCCTAGCAAAGCCTAGCTTGCCCTAGCAAGGATGGGTATCTGTCCTTTTTTTCTATATACTCAAGAGCTCCTCCGAATGGTGGCTTGGCTCCATGGTGTGCTTTTTTTTGTTTTTTTTTTTTTTTTTTTTTTATATAGGAGAGTGAAAACAAAATGGCTGCTCAAATCTCAAGAGTTTGTGCCCTTTCAGAGCAGAAGGCTTCCTCAAAATGGTTGCTGGAGAGCAATGCAGAGGACCGCTAATCCTACAGGTTACCACAGACCGGCAAGAACCACAAGCAACTATTTGCATAAAACACAACATTCCGGCGTGAAAAAGTGAATATGATACAATTACTGTCCCACTATCCACAGCCAGCGAGGTTATTGCTGACACTGTTAACTGCATGTGAGAGGACTGCCAGCAAGCAACTGGGAACAGCAACTTGGCCACGAAGTGGTAGACAATGGAAAATAACAGAGCGAGGTTGGCGCATTCTGAAGTGCACGGTGAGCAGAAGTCTCCAACTGTCTGTGGAGTCAATAGCTAAAGACCTCAACTTCGGGTGGCCTTCAGATTAGCACAACAGTGCGTAAAGAGCTTCATGGAATGGGTTTTCATGGCCGAGCAGCTGCATCCAAGCCTTACATCACCAAGTGCGGTGCAGAGTGTTGGATGGAGTGGTTGGAAGCATGCCGCCACTGGACTCTAGAGCAGTGGGGACGTGTTCTCTGGAGTGATGAATCGCGCTTCTGTTTCCCAGGGGTTGGGCTTGACCCATTGCAGTGAAGGGAATGCTTAAGATGTCAGCATACAAAGACATTTTGGACTTTCATGCTCCCAATTTGGGGGATGGCCAGTCAGGTTCCTCCACCCCAGAGTCCTGACCTCAACCCGATAGAACACCTCTGGGATGAATTGGAGCAGAGACTGCGAGGCAGGCCTTCTCGTCCGACATCAGTGCTGACCTCACAAATGCGCTTCTTGAGGAATGGTCAAACATTCCCATAGACACTCCTAAACCTTGTGGACAGCCTTCCCAGAAGAGTTGAAGCGGTTATAGCTGCAAAGGGTGGGCCAACTGAATATTTAACTGTACGGACTAAGACATGGATGCCATTAAAGTTCATGTGCGTGTAAAGGCAGGCGTCCCAATACTTTTGGCAATATAGTGTATCTTACCTATAGGTCATCAATTAAGGTTAGTGTGCATGCTGGAAGGTGGAGGAGCACAAGTGGTTGATTTTAAGTGGAAGATCACTGGTGAACACATTAAAGATTTGATGTATATGGACGTCTACACTTTTGAATATTTATTGGGACTTTTTGTTCAGTTTTTTTCATGGTTCTGAACTTCACTGGTTAGGGTGTGGTGCCAGCAGCCGGTGTGTTTACAGTGGGTTAATTTTGATTTTATTGATCATATGTATTCACTATATTTATGTATTCACATTGTGTTGCACATTATATTGATTTTGTCATTATGGAGGGGGTGTTTTTGTTATTTAATAGATGTTTAGGTCATCTCTGGTTTGCTTTTTGTTTTTTTTATTCATGACACGGGAGAATATTGTGGGTTTACATACACTGTTAATTTCTTCCTTTATTTGTACGAACACATATATTATGCAGAGGAGGCTTTCTAACATTTGCTGCTGCACGGTACGGATATTTTGAGCAGCACAGCACTATTTTGTATTTAACTTCATTTTGACTGTTGGTTTACGAACACATTTGGGTGTTTGCAGCAGCTCTTGTTTTTGTCTCTTGTGTGGCACTGCATGAGGACTGTCTTATGTTAGTGTTGGCATGACACAAGACTAATGGTAGTGCTCACTTTTTTTTTTTCTCTGGACAAGGTTTCTTCTGGGATGCCCCAAAAACAAAAGGGGATTCATCAGAGTAAATGACTTTACCGCAGTCCAACCTCTGTATCTTTTACAGAATATCAGTCTGTCCCTGATGATTTTCCTGGAGAGAAGTGGCTTCTTGGCTGCCCTTCTTGACACCAGACCATCCTCGATCTTTCCCTCACTGTCTGCAGATGCACTCACACCTCACTGGTGGTGCCCTGATTCCGCAGCTGAATCAACTTTGAGACAGTCCTGGCACTTGCTGGAGTTTCTTGGGCACCCTGAAGCTGCCTTCACAACAATTGAACCTCTCCTTTTTTGTTTAAGTTCTTAAATGGTTGATTTAGGTGCAATCTTGGTAGCCGCAATATCCTTGCTTGTGAATCCCTTTTTTTTTTTTTTTTTTTTTTTCTTTCTTTCGATGCATTAATGACTGCCCCTGTTTCCTTGCAGGTAAATTAAGATTTGTGTCATTCTCAAAAAGTTTGGCCAGGGCTGTACAGTGAATTTTATTAAGTGTACTGAAGAGATCCATTGTGTATATGCCCTATAATAAAATCTGGTTTCATTGTTTTTCAGGTCAGTTTTTATTGCTTTTTCAGTTTTCCTAGACAGTAGCTGAGGTCAGAACGCTTCCTTTTATAAACAATATCTTCTTTTCATGGGACAGAGGTCGTTTAAATATTCAGCATTTTTCTACAGAGTTGTTCAAGAGGTATAACCGGATGCTTCTGATTTTATTTAGCGGACAGCAACTTGGCCCTAATTTACAATGCTATGCAAGAATATGAAACGCTGACCTGTGTACGGTTTGTCAATTGGACCACAGAGACTGACTACATTGACATTGCATCTTCAGGAGGGTAGGTATTCTCATCAATGGGTGCATTTCCTTACTAGTTGGACGCAAAGGGGTAGATTTACTAAAATTTGATGCGACTGTGCATGGTAGCCAACCGGCTTCTAATTTTTGACTTGTTCAGTTAAACTTTGACAATAAAAACCTGGAAGCTGATTGGTTTCTATGCAGAGTTGCACCAGATTTTGCACTCTTTAGCATAAATTAACTTGAAAGACTTGGTATATAGAAACCGTTGTAAGAAGTCTGGATACTGGAGGGTGGGGGCAATGACTTGTTGCAGGCATTGTTGCAATCTTCTTTGCACGTAAGCTATAACCAAAGTAAAGACTTTTGTCCAGCCAAATCTTTCTTCGTATTTTTAATTACGGGCTGTAAGGACTTGAATGCCTGTTAGGTTTTTACGGGTAGCTAGCGCTCTGTTAAAGATTTTTTGTTTTACTCCCAGTTCCGCTGACCATGTTTTTTTAGACAGGAAGTGGTAACTCTCCAATGGCAACATATAAAATGTTGGCAGAGAATACAATTGTTTTTGTGTAGGGGAAGGCTAGAATTCTTAAAGTATTTTTATTTCTGTCTTTATGGGGCCCTGGCTTCCCACACGCCCCTTACCACACCTGTGTGCCGGGCACCAGACTGTCCAATACACTGCTGTGGTCAGTGTATCGTCTCTCTCTTCACACAGGCTGCAGAATTGCTTCCCCCTAGATGCCAGGGTCTAGCGAGCACCGCATGTGCTTATTCATCTGTGCCCCACTGGAGAACGAAGGACTTGCCCTCAGACAGACCTGATGAGGAACAAACCGGAGGGAGGGGGAAGCTTGTTGGCCAGGAAATTTGATGCTTGGTATCAGGTTACTAAGATCAGGAGATTGCATTCCAGCTCAGGTATATTTACCTGAGCTGGGGAAAACTGTCCTATATCTTTCCTGCTGCCAGCCCTCTGTGCTACTTGTGCCTGTGAGAACTCCCAGACTGAGTTTACACCTCCCAGGAATGATTCTCTGCCTTCCATTGCCTAGCTGCCTCTCTGCCTGCACCTTCTGTTCTCTCCCCCTGAATCCAGCACAGGATCCTTAGACCCTGCCTCCACAGACCAATCAGGACAAGCCACCCAGCACCCTCCCTACGGTGTCCTATGTGCGAGTCCCTGAACCCTCCCTGACTTTTTTTTTTTTTTTTTTTTTTTCCTTTGCCTTATTACCCATCACCCTGAGGATTGCTCCCCTTGTTGTGCCTTATTGTGGCCCTATGGACTGTTTCCATTTTGCACCATGTTATCTACTACACTGAGGATCATTCTCCCTTACCATGCCTTCTTGTTGCCCTGTGAACTATTTCACCTTTTTTGTTGTCATATTCTCACTCTGAGGATCATTTTCCCTTGCTGTGCCTTCATGTTGCCCTGTGGACAGTTTTCTTCACTGTGCCATATTACCACCCTATTAATACCCTGAGGGTCAGCTCCCCCTTGTTGCTCCATAATGCCATTCCATGGACTAGTTATCCATGCTGTGGTACATTGTTGCCCTGTGGACTTTCTGTGTTGTGTCCTATTGCCGGTCTTCCTGTAAACTCAAGTTGCCCAATAAATGCCCACAAATTAGGTTCCAAGTAATTAGTCTCTCTCTACCTTTTTTTTTTTTTTTTTTCTTTTTTATTCTTCTATGCTCCTAGTTTGTTGTGAACAGGACAAAAAGTGATATCACTCCATGGAACCTTGAATGGGTTTCTACCAATATCAGGGTCTCTAATGCCTACCCAGTCTAACCATTTTGAAAATGTGCAATTTACAGGGATAATGGTGACCTGTGAATCTGGCTACATCAAATGTTGGTTATGGCCAAATTGTGCTAACCATGTGGTGCTTTTTGGTTTGATAGCAACGAATCGTACTTTGTTCTTGGTCAAAAGTGCATAATATGTATGAGGCCAAAACTGAGTGAGTAAAGCACAGAATGCCTCCAAACAAAAATTCCCCTTAGGAAGAAAATGCCTACTCACTGCACCTTGGCATGGTGTTGCTGATCAGTCCTCACAGTTCACCGTCTGGTGAGTTCCTTCTCTAATCTCTAGTGTTGGCTCCTGTACAGCTGCAGAAGGCACCATATTCTTGCAGGACAGGGAATCAAATGGAGCTTGTCTCTTCTCCTGCAACCCCCTGTCTCTGCACAGGCAAACACCAACATGCTTATGTGACAGGTCATGTCCCAGGCTGCATTCAGTGGGGTCTGCCAGCATTGGGGTCTTTGGTCACAATCCAGTTCCGTATGGCAAAATCAGAAAGTGCTATTGGTGTTTAATTGCTATTGATTTACTTAGCCACGTGGTTTCCCACCCCTATTAAACCTGTGCATGGGGCAGTTGCTGGTCCTGCTCACACACCTTTTTGTTCCGGCTTTGTAACCTAGTGTAGTCTTGACTTGCAGACTCTTGGCCCAAAAGTACACTGCAGGTCATGTCACAAAGAGCAAGGTTGCACATAATCCATATCCTTGCCTCCTGCAAAAATGTCTATATAAGCAGAGAGGCGGCACCAGGTAGACCATGTGACATCAACCCTGGATACAGCAGGGAGCAGATAGTCTTCCCCTTTCTGCTCCTGCTTTAGGCCAATAACGGATTGGTTGCTAGGATGGGAGTACAGTGCAATTCAAGACTCGCCTGAAACAGGGGACATCTGGTCACTCTATCCTACATGACATTCTGCAGCTGTGCTGTGACTGATACCCTGAGTAGGATAACTGTAGGTTTGTGAACCATCTAATAAAGCCAACAGGATTTTATACATATATGTGCAAATTTGAGTAAAGCTGTCTTGTTTAAGGTTTCTTTTAAAGAAGGGTACAAAGCAGTGATGCTGCTTGGTTGGATCATTGCCAGTAAAGAGCACATTTTATAAAATGTGCTCAAAAACCAATATATTTAACTTGGAATGAGCATTTTTGTGGGTACTGGATATCTGAATATTTTCTGAGCTGTCAGAGTAGCCGCCTTTCCCAAAAAAGTCACAATTCAGGAGTCCTTGTGGATAGGGGGTGCAGATTCCTAGATTTGGTAGGTACCTGGTTCCCCCCCCCCTTGTTAAAACTGTCCAGGTGAAAGGGGAGATTTACCCTACCCACAACCTCTTGGGACATGTCACTGGTCCCAGGAGGCTGCTGGAGGCTCCCCACTGCAGCCACAAGGAATCGCAGCCAGCTTCCCACAGTAAACATGCCAGCGCTGGGAACCCGAAGATCAGCAAAGAGATGGCTGGGTGAGGACCACACGGGATCACTGAATGGGTAAGTGTCCTTTTTTATTAAAAATCCACAACTACAGTTATTTTTCTTGCCACATCCTGTGAACATAAAAGTGGAAGACTACACTAGTACCACTCTTCACATACACCTTCCATCCTTCTGAATGGTCCTTGTCTGCTGGAACAAAAAATGCATTTTACATCCTTCATAAGGTGTTTGGTTTTGTTTTCTATCCCCCTAGCTGTTTATCATACATTGGACGAATTGGGGGTGCACAGTCTCTTCTGATTTATTCACCTGGCTGTATGCAGCGAGCGATTATACAACATGAGCTACAGCATGCGCTGGGATTTTACCATGAAAATGCCCGAATTGACAGAGATCAGTATATCATCGTTAGGACAGAATATATCATTCCAGGTAGGGAGCACCTCCCATATACATTGCCTTTTTTACCTGTATCCTTTATCATCAGTATTTTTTTTTTTTTTTTTTTTTTTCTTTTGCTGTACAGAACTTCTATACAATTTTAACTTGGTGACGGAAGGAGATATGTTGGGCCTACCATATGACTACACTTCTGTTATGCATTATGACAAGTAAGTTCAAGTGTGTCTGTCACAAAACGAATGCAGCAGCTGTCGGTCAACAGTAATTGGTACCCTGAACATAATACATCTGTTCTCCTGTCTGATTTTATCCATATTATGCTGCTTTTGGCACTGGTAGTTCTTGACAAGGGGTATTTGGCACATAAAAGGATAAACTCCAAATTCTCAGGTACACACCACACCCTTTCCTGGCCACCCATAAAGAAGTCACTGATTATTTTTGTGTAAACTTTTGCTTGAGCTATTGTGGCCTGCAAACATGTACAGTATTTAAATCAGAGGGATCAATGAGTCTCTGGGGAAAATGTGGGAGAAAACCTAAAGTGCCATCTTCTGCCTGAATTGGTTTCATAATCAAATACTGTTTACAATATTAACTTGTAAAGAGGTTTCTTCATCCATAACAAAAGCACAATGTTGGGATACAGAGTGCAAGTATCCAGCAACAGGGGTAACCTTGTGTGGCAGTTAAGGAAGCAAGGACTAGATTGTGTATGCTTAAAATAAGATCTATAAATAAGCAAAAACCCATATAACATCAGCAAGCCACCTACATGAGAAAATTGAAAATTTACAGTGAAGCAAGTGCCAGGATACCTAAAGTATCAATCTTAATACAATATATACAAATGAAGGGGGAACATAGATAAACAGTATGCAAGAAATATCATGGAGATGGATCATGAAAGGGACCAGATCTGGCATCCGGAACTAGGACCAGTATGAGGCAGTAGAGTATAGCATTACCGTTGGAATTGGGATCAAGGTCAAGAGCTGCAGGAACAGCGCATCAATCACCAGGTATATGACACACAGGCAAAATACTGAGGAAAAGCCAGGTAAAATATTATATACTTGTAGCACTCTCCAGAATAAATTGATAGGTTGGTTAGGTAAATTTTGTCATTGCTCTGGTCTGCTCAGTTGCACTGGCTGTGGGTATGACTGCTTCCACCTGCCTTCTGGGTAGTTCTAGATGTAGTTGGCTGGATTAAGCAAATCGGCACCTGAATTTCTCAGCCAATTCCTAAAGGAGGGTGGCTGGGAATAAGCATAAGTAGTCTTGTGCCTGGAGCTGCTCTGTTGTCCAGGACAAGTTCCCAGCCTGCAGGGCTGCTGCCCTCCCAAGCAGCCCAGCTGACACTTTCCAAAAGCTCATCGAGGTCCCAGGTAAACTAGAGCTGGGGGCCTATCTTCGGACAATCTCTGAAGCTAAAGTGGGATTAGCCTCCCTCCTGTGTCAGGCAGATATTTTCCAATTACCCAGGGACATGTGACTACAGTCCTGAGTGCAGGATCTGGGTGACTGTTGCTGCTGCACTAAACTAAGGCTGCCTGGCATGGAACATTGCTCATGGTGTTCCAGTGCTGTCTAGTTCCTGAGCTATTATTGAGACTGTTCTGAGAAATATCTGCAGAGAGAAGAGTGTCCTACTGTTAAGCGCCTGGAGTATTCCACAGCTCCTTGTGCCCTATCCAATAGACATCTGAAATTTTTGTTTCGTTGCAAACTTCAATATTCAGCAATTTTCAGATGTATCCAAATTTCCAAAACGCAATAGAATTTTGGATTCATTAAAATGAGTTACTTACGAAACCAAATTTGAAAATGAATTCAAATGGAAACCTATTGCAATAAGGTACAAAAGCGAAATAAGATGATTCCTACTTAAGCTGCTATATAGGATGGAATAGAAAATTAAATGGAAAAGAATAAAAAAAAAAAAAGTAATCTTCCGAACTTCAAATTTTGAATCACTTTGAAAATTAAAGAATATACAAAACCTATTGCAAAAAAGATTCATCATAACAGAACGAGTGTGCTGAAATTCCCATGAACCAATCCAAAACCAACTTTTCCGTCCGTGTAAATGTCTACTATCCAAGTTACAAAAGGCAATCCTAGACTGAGTATTTTTCTGTCTGAGCCAGAGGAGTGACTGTTATTGCTTGGCTGCCATTATACCTATTATGGAGAGGAACCTGGGACAAACATAGTGGTCCTTGCAGGGGTGAGCACCATATAGTGTTTTTTTTTTTTTTTTTTTTTTTTTTTTTTTTTTTTTTCCTAGTAGCCAGCATCAGGTGGAGACTGAACACTAGGATCTTTTGGCTACTGAAAGACACCTGCTGGTCGATATTGAAATTACACCCTACACTGAGCACCACAGTGTCACTAGCAGGTGATCCTGATTATAATCCCACTCTGCACTGATCTGCCATACCTTCTCACCCACCTAATATTCAGTAGGTCCCTCCTTTTTCTGCCAAAACTGCAGGTCTAGTGGTGTCCATGCCTTGAGGGGTCAGGGCTGTGATATCTGGCTCAAAGCCATCAACAATAGATACTTTCAGTCTTGTAAATTGTGAAGTGGGATCTCCATGGAATGTTTTTTCCTCAAACCATTTTTGCAGGGTGCATTGTCCTGCTGAAAGAGGCCATCACCAACAGGGAATACTGTTCTGCTTCAGCAGTGTAAGCACTATAGCTTGTCCAGTTGTGGTGAGATAGCTTAACTTGGTTTAGTTGCTTGACAGACATGGACTGTATCCAAATGACATCTTGCAAATTGTATAAAACATTAATCAAAAACTTTTGTGCAGATATTTAAAATGAACATCAGATACAGATATACAGTCTCCATGAAGGGATATACATGGTCATCAACAATATTTAGGTGGGTGGTACGTGTCGAGTAACATCCACATGCTGTAAATGGCAGGACCCAAGGTTTCCAAGCAGAAACCTGCCCAAGGCATCACACTGCCTCTGCTGGCTTGCATTCTTACCATACTGCATCCTGGTACCATCTCTTCCACAGATAAGTAATGTACATGTACCCAATCATTCCACAGATAAGTAATGTACATGTACCCAGTCATCCATGTAAAGCAAAATATTATTCATCAACCAGGGTCACCTTCCATTACTTGTACCCAAGTGCCCATTATAGGACATGGGCACCCTGACCAGTCTGCAGCTATACACCCACATAAGCAACAAACTACACTGCCCATTTATTTTATTTTTTTATGCTTTCAATACATCAAATTCAGGGGCAACATGTTTACTTGCTGCCTAATATATCCCTCAGACTTTCACATGCCATTGTAACAATCTATCTTGTTCGATTAACACTATGGCTGGTGAATAATCCCTTTTTAAGTTTCTTCAGAAGTTTTGACAGATGTGAATGATTCTGTGTACTTGTGTAATGTGTTTGAATAGCATGTGGGCACTATATAAGAGAAACTTAAGTAAAACAACTTCTTCTTTTAAGGTATGCATTCACCATTAATGCAAGTGAGCCCACAATCATACCTACACCTAATCCAGATACAGACATTGGACAAAGATATGGATTGACTGTTTTGGATGTCAAAAAAGTTAACAAGCTCTATAACTGTTGTGAGTATGGTTTGACAGCATAGAATTAGGCTCTAGATTAAATGATATTCACAAAGTGGCTTTAACAGAATACTGTACATGGTGAAACTGATGGTACTAATCTTGGCAAATGTCTTCAGTTTCCTGCAGCCTGATTAACATGTAAATGCTTTCTATATTTCAAAGTGACCCTGTCAGGGGACTGACAAGACTGCAATGATAGTACCTTGGGATAGACAGCAGCATTATATTTACTTGTCGGACAGCCCCTCTGCTGAAACTATGCTCTACTGTATAGCTGAGCTTCCAACACTGATCCAGGTGGCTGCTGGGCATCTTCCTGCTGACCCCTAGTTACTGCAGGACACATTAACAGGGTACAGAAATTTTGTTACCCCCATAACAGTCTTGGAGGACTAACTGCTGAAATTTCTGTGACATTCAGCAAAATGTCCAGATTTTCAGTGACATACATTGTCAATAAGGAAAGCTAAAAAAGATAGTTTTGGTGGTTTTTAGGGGTGCAGTGGGGTTTACATGGTTCCTGAGGGTTAGGGGAAGCTCCTTTTTCAATTATGTGAGATGTCACTTTGCTTTCCTACTTAGCTGACAGCTAGCTAACAAAAGTGACAGAGCATAGTGTCATTCCAAAACTGAATTTACTTCTGTGAATACCTCTGTAAAACTGCAATACAATTGCATAAACTGAAGTTACGATGTGCTTGTGTACATGTGTAGCACCCTCTTAGTTTAGCTAGGGGGAGCTAGACCGTAATGGTTAATAAGGAGCTAGTTAGCAATTCAGGTGGGGATAGCCAGAGGGGTCAAATTCTGGTCAGGACTTACTCTCTGCAGGCCAGCCCCCCTACTCTGATGCTTTTGGAAGAGGGCCTTGGAGGCAGTGGGTGGATCTGAGGAGTGGCTGGCTACACTCTTGAGGGATCTCACCCAATCCCCAACAGGAGGTTTGGCAAGGGGCTGGAAGTTCCTTTAAAAGTGGAAGAACCTGCTCAGTAGCAGGAGAGGAATGAGAAACCGGAAGATCTGAGGCTGGAGGAAGAAGGCTGCCAGGAGGCCTAGTGGGATGGGGCCTGCCTGCGAGCCTGGAGCTGAAAAGGAGGACATTTCAGGATTCACTGGCCCCCTGAGAGGATCACCTGTATGGCAGGGATGGAGTAGCCCAGCCATTCCGCAAGCAGTACAGGAGAGGATCTGAGTGAGTATAACTGCACCTCCTGGGTGGATAGGGGAAAAAGCACTCTGGCAGGAAACCAGGTTAGCCCCCTACTAGTGACTTTTACCCATTTTAACCTCTTCACGCTGGCCGAATGCAAATGTGTGGCCTCCCGGTGTCTGGGCCTAGACGCCGAGCGGCCGCACATTTGCATTCTATTAAGAAAAAAAACGTGCCGAGAGCGCGCGCCCTGCATGCTCTCAGCACACGTCTGGTACTCGCGGAAAGGTCCCAGTCTCCTCTTTCGATCGGGACCTTTCCCGATCATGTGACCGCCATGACGTGTCTCGGTGGTCACATGATCCCTGAACCTCACCGTCCCGGCTTCTGAAACTCTTAAAGGGCCGGGGGGTGCCATCGTGAAGGGGTTAAAGGAACCGGAGCCAGATCCCCTGTTCAGGAAGAAAGTCTCCAGATTACTGGGTGAAGAGTTCATCTAGGGTCTTGGGTGCGATGACTGGAGCTGCTGGCCAACAGACTGCTTCAGAGAAGAGAAGCTGTGAATAGTTCAAGAAGCTGTTGTCCGATATTGGTTACCATGGGCATCCTATACCCCCCTTACCCTATCAAAGTTCTAATCCCCTCAAAATGACTGGCTGTGCAGGACTATAGGGGGGACCGAAATTCTTAAGCAACCCCTGATGGGGTAGTGCTACACGTCTCACAAATGCACACATTTCTTGCAAACCGCTACCTAAAAATCTACATTAAATACATCTAAATGTGTTCTAGATATACTCATGACTTTAACAAACACAACAAATAAACTTACAAATCCCCAAGAACACCAGGGATTTCACACAAAGGAATTCATACAAAGAACAGGATACTTTAATAAAGGTGTAGCACTATCCCATTAGGAGTTGCTGAAGTTTGGGTCCCTCTACAGTCCTGCACAGCCAGGCAACATGGATTTTACAGATTTGCATTCAGGAGACCGTAACCAGTCCTTTTGAGCTTGTTTGGATTTTATTAGGGGAATTCAGCTTGGATGGGGTAAGGGGTATATGGGATGCCCAAGGGTAATGGCCACAGAGGACAAACTTTCCTGGAACTAGAAGTCTTTACAGTAAAAATCCTCTTCTGGAGAGCTAGCCAGCACCTCTTGTAGTACCACCCCAGAACCCACATTCTACTAATCCAGCTGTTCTGGATGAATTCCTGGGCAGGGGATTCAGTGCCTGCCAGTACAGTGTGAAACAGTCCTGCATAAGAAAGCTAATCTAGTTTTCCCACTAAGAAAGCTAATCCAGTTTCCCACTAGAGTGCCTTTCTCCTTACTGGCCCAGAGGGTGCAGGTACTGTGCTACTCACTCAGTCCTTCTCCTATGCTGCTGGTGGTCCAGTGGCTGCTACCAGGCCATCTAGCTGGGCCGTTCCTTCCCTGCTGCATATGTGGCCCTCACTCGGGGGGCTGGTGAAGTCCTGAGCTTTCCTGTCTCAAAGGATCTATTGTCTGTAGGTGAGCCCCTCTCCATCTGGGCCCCCTCCCAGGTTCCTGCTTTCAAGCCTCACTCCATCTTCCACCCAAAACTCGCCTGCTGCTGAGCAGGCTTGGTCACTTAAGGGCTGTCCTAGCCCCTTGCCTCCTTTTGGGGATTGGCCAGGATCCCTTGAGAGTGCAGACTAGCCACTCCTCACCTCTACCCACTGCTTCTACAACTTTCTCCAAAATTCCAGTGCAGGGGGAGTCTCAGAGCTTATCTGCGGAGCCTCTCAGCTTTGACCCTGCTAGCCATCACCTGGCTGCTATTCAGCCTCTAACAATTGGAACTTGAGCTTCCCCTAGCTAACTAGGAGGGTACTACACAAGTACATGGTACAGCAGGCACATATCAGGAATATGAAATATTGGGTTTACATATTCTTTAAAGATCTTTATCACATGACTGTGTCTCTTCTTGCTAGTGAGGAGCAGGGTTACAGGACACTGTGCAGACACGCTGTATTTCATAGTCTGTCCAGCCTGAGGCAAGATGCAAGCTGTGCTTGAGCAGGGGGTGTGTTCAAGAGGCAAGCTGTGATTGGTCAAGGGGTGTCATGGCTTTACAAACTACCCAATACAGGCATGCTGTGTCTGCAATGTCCTGTCCTGAATGGCTAGCCAAAGAGTGAAAACTGATCACACGAACACAGATCAGCTTCTCTGCTTTGTGTGGTCAGTTTAGAACAAGGAAGAAAGGTGACTGACAGGATCAACCAGGTTCTTCAGATGGAAGAAGTACATGAAAATGATAGCGACTATGAGTTATAAAAAAAAAAGTGTGAACACACAAAGAAAATTAGGTTACTATATACATTTAAGCTTGGGAAATGAAAGATTTGGTTGCTATGCACAGCTGCTCCAGTTTATCTGCTCCAATATTGAAAACTTCCCCCCAATGTGTGCAGGCAAAGTTCACAACTACTGGCAAGAATCTACTCCTTGTTACCAACAGCTGCTGCTATTTGGCATTGTGAATGGCCTTAGAAAACCATTTCATGAAAAATGGATTACAGGGCCATTTAAAGACCCAAATTCTTACCTTGGTTCCAATGGTCTGACACCCGGAAGGCCCCTCCTTACCACCAGCTCCAACCCCCCCCCCCCCCATGCTGGTCTTCAGCCATTATAATTGGCTAACTCAAGGTGACATCAGTCCCACACATGTACAGGAATACAGTCATCTCAGCACACTGGCAGCATGCCAAAATGTGAACTGAGCTGCGCATGTGCAACTGCTATGTACATCCCTCATGGGATTGTGAACAGGCAGGTATGTGTACTTTATTACAGAAGACGCTGCATGTTTCTTCTGCAATTAAAAGCCTGCCTGTTTGCAGACGTTTTATGCTTTTACTGCTGCTTTTAACTAGAGGATGTACAGTGTATGGATTATTTTTGGAGAATAAAGGTGTGTGTGTGTGTTTTTTTTTTTTTTTTTTTTTTTTTTTTTTTTTTTTAATCCTTTTGCCTGTAGTTTTCATCCATTGATTATGGAACTTGTTAAATGTATGATGCATTTCTTGTGCTATCTTCTTAGCTGTGTGCAGTAAGTTGTTGAATGAAACATGGGGAAATTTCTCATCAACCGACTTTTCCACTGAATATCCTACCACGGGCTGTGTTTGGCTGATCCGAGTTCCTGATGGACAGGTACATCTCTTCACGAATAGTATTTCATAGGACCCATGTAGTGCTACCATCTTGAGAGCAGCTGGTTTTGGGTCCCTCTTATTTCCTCCAGCCAGGCATGTATTCTCCAACTTGTATCTAGACACAGTCCATAGGCTTGGCTTTTAGGATTTATAAGGAAATTCAACTTGGATAGGGTAAAGGGGTTATGGCAGGGGTGTCAAACTGGTGGCCCTCCAGCATTTGCAAAACTAAAAGTCCCATCATGCCTTTGTCTTTGGGAGTCATGCTTGTAACTGTGAATCTTGCAATGCCTCATGGGACTTTAGTTTTGGCAACAGCTGGAGGGCCGCCAGTTTGACAACAGTATTTAGGAAATGAGATCCCCTCCTAGGAATTTGGTGTTCCCTGAGTGGATTTCCAGTGAAAACTTTTAGGACCTCTTGGTCCTCCTTAGTGAACAAAATACCAGTGCACCTGGCTACAGTATCTGGTCACAGGGCAAGGGATTGGCTAAACATTAGACTGCTAAATGCAAGTTTTTGGCAAGTCTTCAGGGGACAGACTTCTGCCTTTTTGTGCCCTGGGAGTGTGGAGATATGCACACTGTGCTTGTAGAACTGCTTTCAGGCTTTCCACGGGGCTGGGTTTTTTTTTCCAGGCTATCATTCCTTCCCCAGTGGACTGTAGAGAAGTAATGCTCCCTCTTTCAGCTTTCCTCCAGCCTGGAGGCACAACCCACCCCCCCCCCCCCTTCTCCAGGGCCCCACAGCAGCACCAGCCATCCATCCATCTTCCACCCTACTTTGCTAACCAGGCTCTGTCATATATATGGGCCAGTCTGAACAATCCCAGCCAGGTCTGGCAGTGACTCCCATAAATATGCTGATCAGTTCCTCCTTACCCCTGTCTAATGACTTCTAGAGCAGGGGAAGGTACCAGAGGGCTGACCTGTAGAGCCTTCCAGCCTTACCTGCAGTAAAACCACTGACTCACACCCAGGCTTCTAGCAAGCCTCTAGCTACACTAAATAAACTATCTATACTAGAGGGTGCTACACCAATGTACCTGAAACCTAATGTTTAAAGTGGCGAACATTTGGTGCCTCCTTACTTCCATTTACTGCTGACCTTGTCAGCACCATAGAACCAATCCACAATGACTCCCAGACCAAATTAAAATTAACATGCATTCAGTAGAAAAGGTCGTATGTTACATTGGGACCTTGATACATGGGGTTTGTAATGTGGGCTTTCTACCGCTTGGAACCTCAGTAGCGATGCACACGACAAACAATTTTGTTTCTCCATTAGTTAAGTAAATCATTTCATTTTGTCATACCTGTTTGTTTAGAATAATTTTTTTTAAATGATTCATTATTATCGGAGAATATATACATCCAAATTCATATTTTAGGAAGTCCTGTTATTTTATTTGGAAAGATTGGCTGTATTTGTTTTAAAGTAATTTAATACATATTCATTCATGGCGTTGAGTTGAATTCACTTACCCATTGCTAACTGACTTTGTTGGACCGTGCACATAAAAAATTTAAAAAATAGGTCTCAAGATCACCACCAATACCAATATATTAATGCTACGGACAATAGAATAAAAATGGATCCAAATCTATTACTGAAATCAATTCTCCTCTCCCTCTAGCTGGCTTTCAGCTGCTGAAGAAAGCCATACAGGGGATCGTTGCCAGTTATTGCACCCCCACACCTGCACTGCTGCCTTTCTCTCCTTCCCACCGGCAGTTGCAAGCGCACACAATGGGATGTTTCAATGTGTGAGAGTGGTGGAAGGGTCTGGTAAATGTCATTTTACTAGACCCTTCCTTTCCTGAATGAACACAATGAGTGGTACTGATCACTCACTGTGTTCATTCATAATTGAAGCATAGTAAATTTTGTGTTTTTCTTTGTTTTTTTTGTTTTTGTTTTGGGGGGGGGGGGGGGGGTTGGCTGTATAGGACCCCTTTAGTTTGTAAAACTGCTGTAACGTAAAGAACCTCTGTATATAATCCCAAAGGTTTGTCTCCAACAGATGCATGCACTTCAGCTTACATGTTTACACATGCTTTAGAAAACTGACTTTGCTCCAAACAACAAATGTCGGTGTGGGCAACAGATTCATGTAACTGTTGTAAACCATTGCCTCAATGTACCGGGTCAGCTTTCACATGTGTACATTTTTTTTCATTTTAGGTTGCCCTCACATTCACATATTTCAATATCCAGAACACTGAGTGTGTCCCTAACTACATGGTGATTTATGATGGACCCACCAAGAATTACCCCTTGTTAGTGGACAGAGCCTGTGGAACTGTTCAGTATCCTACAATAATTTCCTCCACAGACCAAATGCTTATTGAATTCGTCAGCCATGACTCTGATCCCTCTGCAGGATTCACTGCTTCATATAAAACCGGTGAATAAGTTGTTGTTTGTCGTTTTTTTTTTTTTTTTTTTTTTTGTGTTTTTTTTTTGTTTTTTTTTTTTTAAATGGACAGATTAGAAGTCTGAAGTCATTGTACCAGTTGTATTGCCAAAAAAAATCTGATGCAAATGGAATCATTGCTGGGGTCAAGGGCTTGGCTTTTTGGCATATACTGGAAGAGTCTATACATGCAGCTCTCTGACCAGTGATAAAATCCAGGCACGACTTCCAGGACTGGATTGGGTTAGAACCTCACTCACAATTTTGGATATAGTTGAAGGGTTGGAATCTGTCATCAGGTTTTGTCTCATGGACAAGAGGAGGGTTGATTCTTTCTAACAAGGACTCAAATGACAAAGGCCCTAGAGGAGAAAGATTTGAACTTGTCACACCCTGACATGACAGTATAGTTTGAGTTGGGGTATCTTACCCCATGTCCCCTTGCAGCATTAAAAGCAGGGTGCCCATTGAAATCTACTGAATGGCCACAGGTCACGCAGTACAAAGGAACAGGGATATCTATTATGGGGAGAACCCTCTGTATACCCTATCGGTAGTGCCATGGTTATATGGTAATTATGAACCTTTTTCTTCAACTTGCCAAGCATATTGGTGAACTAATGTTCACCCAGCTTATAGCAGCTAATTTTGACAAAGGCAAATTAAGTAGCTACGTACTAGTGTAGTGTGGGGTGTTTTTTTTTTTTTTTTTCTCCATTTATCTTCTTCAGGGTTGTTCTTTTGCTTTTGATCATGCAAGGCTTTTTTTCGGGGTCAGTAGGGGGCCCCATGAGATGCCCCTGGTACATTTTTTTATAGGCTTTTTTGAGTTTGGGCAAGGACACAGGGGCCCCATGAGTTGTCAGTCCGCCCCTGGGCAGTAGTGAACACACACACATTTTGGATGCAGTAAAGCTTGAATCTTTGTATTGAGCAGAATGCCAATATACAGACACCCTAGCGGGCAAAGCACTGCTTATGGAAGCAACTCAGTTCATTGCAGCCAAAGATGTGGCTGAGTGCTGACGGCATCCGTACCAGAAGTTGAAGTGCAGCTTGGCCAGTCCATTACCAACAGGGAGGTTTCTTTCCAGGTAGCAAGTCCCTAGCCTGTCTTTTCTCATCCAAAACTTTCCATAACAAGCGGAGTCTCTACACTAGCCACATAAAGCGTGCCAAAACCTGGGGGCAGGGACCCTGCTGACCCAAGATGGCTGCCAAGGGTCACATGGCTGCAGTGTAGCCAATCAGAACAGTGGTCTATTGGCCCGATAAACCATGTTTCCCCTTGACTTTCTCTCCAGGCTCTGGTACCAATCAGACTGAGTGCCACTTGCAGGGAAGAAAATGTACTGCACACTGAAAGAAAATCTGACATTATGTTCACGTATGGTAAAAAGCTTCTATTTTGCAGCAATTTAGGGAGATTCTGTTCTTTCTGTCCCAGTGACTACAAAGGAAGTGAGGAAAACAAATCTAATCGATCTTGAATTGAAAAAATAATCCTGACTCAAATCTGACATTGCCCTTCCTTGCATTGTTTTAATCTTTCTGGGTCTTTTGAGCAGTTATAAGCTAACGTGGACATTTTTCCTCTTGCAGTCCAATGTGGTGGATTTTACTCTGGTGCTGTAAGACAGATCACTTCTCCAGGGTACAATACTGGTGAATATCCACCTAACCTGAACTGTAATTATACAATACTTGCACCTGTTGGATATCAGGTGAGACATTTTTTGTTTTTGTTTTTTTTTTTTTTTTTTTTTTTTTCACTTTAGTATCATTCTATTCCCCCCCCCCCCCCTTTTTTTTTTTTTTTTTTATCCCCTGAATTGAGGTTACCAGATTATTAAAATAAAATCCAGGACACCCTACTAACTATACCCCTTTTCAAACCTGCTCACAAAACCACACCCTCAATTGTAGCCACAAACATCTGTGAACTGTTTAGGGCTTGTTAAAAAAAAATTGGATTGTGATTTTATCACATGAGGTAGACATTCAAGGTATAAAGATGCAGCACGATATTTGTGCTGCCATAAATTTGTGGGGGTCTAAATTGCTGTAACAGTGGGCAGGGCTTAAAAGGGTATAATTAAATGAAAAAATTTGGCCTATTTTGCTATGGTTCAAGAGTGTAAAGCATAGCAGTGAGGTGTAAGCAATGCACAGAGTGCAGGGGTCAGGCGTAGGGCAGAGTGCAGGGGTCAACATTAAAGCGATTCCAAAGATTTTTTTTTTTTTTTTAATAGAACAAACCTGCTATAATTACCTGCTGTGTGCAGTGGTTTTGCACAGAGCAGCCTGGATCCCCCTCGGGTCTCCCGCAGGCTCTCCTGGCCCCTCCCTCCTGTTGGGTGCCCCCCACAGCAAGCAGCTATGGGGGCACCCGCTGCTCCGTGTGTCCAGTCACACACACAGCCGTGGCTTGGCCCTGCCCTCTCTCTCCTCATTGGCTCAGTCTGTGACAGCACGGGAGCCAATAAAGGTAGACTTGTTTTCTCTGCCAATGAGGAGGCAGAGACCCAGGCCAACCAAGACTGTTGTTGACATTGCTGGATTGTGATGAGGCTCAGGTAAGTATTGAGAGGGCTGGGGGCACTGCTACACACAAGGGTTTTTTTACCTTCATGCATAGAATGTATGAAGGTAAAAACCTTGAGCCTTTACAACCACTTTAAGTAAAGCGCCGAAATCAGGGGTCAGGTCAGGAGCAGGTAATTCACAAAGTTCAGGAGTCAGGAGCAAGCAACTTGATTGCTCTTGGTGTGGTGTCCCCTACATCTGGCAGCCATCTTCTGTTTTTTGGTTGTGCCCAGCACCATTCTTGGCAGCTGGGCACCATAGTGCATTGCAATGACCAGGTTCCAACTCTGGTCACAATGCTTAAGCATCAATCCAGTGGTATGGCTGGAATGGCTTTGCATCTGCGGGAACTTTGGATTTCCATTCTGAGAGAGCTTTTCAAGCATCCATTGCAACTGTAGCCTGAACTCATTGAATAAGATTTCAGACTTGCAGTGTGTCAAAACCGAAATGTAGTTCATCCAGCTTACCAAGTCTTCTTAGGTGTGGTGGCTGCACTAGCATTCTTTTTTTAAAGATATCCAATGTCCTGCATAAAGTTCTGTAATTTGCTGACCTTTTTTATTTCAGTTCAATCTCATCAACCTTCTCAGCTATCTTTATTAAACTACAGAATACCTTCTCCTTATGTAATGGAGAGGAGGAGAGTGGGAGGTATTTGTAGTCCAAATAATGGGAGCAGCCTAAGGTGATGGCCTTGCTCCTCCTGTTGTCATGAATGTGTGTTTAAAGAAAAAAAAAAAAAAAAAAAAAAAAAAAAAAATATAAATATATATATATATATATATATATATATATATATATATATATATATATATATATATTATATATATATTAAATAATATTGCTCAGGTTATAAAAGCAAATCCTTCCACCTTAAGCTCCCCTTCACATAAAGGGTCCAATCAGGTTCACCTGTCAGTTTTTCAGGGGAAGCTGGTCATACAGTCCATTCACCCCTATGGACCAGCAGGTGTAAACTGACTTGTGTCCTTTAACCACTTGCCTACCGGGCACTTATACCCCTTCTTTTTTACCAGGCCAATTTTCAGCTTTCAGCGCTGTTGCACTTTGACAATTGCGGGGTCATGTAAGATTGTACCCATATGAAATTTTTATAATTTTTTTTTTTCTCACAAATAGAGCTTTCGTTTGGTGGTATTTAATCACTGCTGGGCGCTTTTATTTTTTTTGCGCTATAAACGAAAAAAAGTGCAAAAAATTTGAAAAGTTTTTGTTTCTATTATAAAATTTTTCAAACAGGTAATTTTTCTCCTTCACTGATGTGCATTGATGAGGCAGTACTGATAGGCAGCACTAATGAGGTGGCACGGATAGGTGGCACTGATGATGGATACTGATAGCACTGATAGGTGGCACTGACTGCATCACTGCTGGGCACTGACTGGCGACTGCAGGCACTGCTGCAGCTACTGGGCACTGATGGTGGCACTGACTGGCAGTGCTGGACTGCACTGGGCACTGGTGGGCACAGGTGGGTGGAACTGGTGGGCAGCACTGCTGGGCACCGATCGGTGCCGATCCCTGCTCTCACAACTGCCAGTTCGGCAGTACTTTCATCACGCTCTGACAGCGTGAGGAAAGTGCAGCCGAGAACCGGCAATTGCATTTCCTGGTGATCCGTGTCATTGGACACGGCTGATCACGTGGTAAAAGGCTGCTGTGATTGGCCTTTTACCACATCTCGTGATCAGCTGTGTCCGTAGGACACAGCGATCACGGAGATCGCCGGGTGCGTGCCCCCGGGGGTGCGCAGGAGAGCGCGTTCTGGGAGGACGTCATATGACGCCCTCCCAGAACGGGCTGGCTGCAGTGTAGCCGTCATTCAGCTATCTGCGGTCGGCAAGTGGTTACAACAACTTACCTCCGGTCTGCTAAAAACCTTAAGGGGATCTGAAACACCCCCCCCCCCCCCATCTAGACTGATCGGATCAGAGGTCAGTTGGGTGTGAATGGACAACAGAGTTTACTCCTGGCTGCCAATAGAGCAGAGCTCCCTGTCTGTATCCAAAATGGACCTGTCATCTGCCCACTGTGCTCTGATCAGCAGACAGATCCGCTGTTTACCAAAACTGAGTCCACCCAACCTGAAAGGGGCCTAACTATCTATTTGACAGAGGAACACTGAAAAGTATGAAGCAGTATCTTTAGAACAGAACATGCATACTGCTTGAAATCTTCAGAACTCCCATGCTTTGCTGGTGTTTTTTTTTTTTTTTTTTTTTGGGGGGGGGGGGGGGTAGGTAAATGGTTTCAGTTGAACTCTCCCACTGTTTTTATGTGACTATGGTAGTGTGCAGCCTCTTCTGTATTTCAATACTTTCTGCCTTCCTCCTAGATCATGTTGTCTGGCTCATGTGAGCTTGAGGATCCTCTAAATGGGCTATGCTTTCATGACGTCTTGACTGTGTACTCCGGAGGCTCCCAGAAATCCAGCTCCGGAGGCTCCCAGAAATCCATGTATTGTGGTAAACGCTCCATTCCAAGCAGACTCTCAAATGGAAATCAAATGGTGCTCAATTTCATTAGCGATCAGTCTAAACAAAATAAAGGATTCCTGGTGACTTACTACTTTGGTAAGTAAACACTGCAAAGGGACTTCAAATGAACTGCTAAGGCCAGATGACATGTTTACCCGCAATGGCTGCTTGATTATGGTTGCCCTAACCTTGCAAGCCTCCCAACACCTCTTGCACTCTGGGTTCAGATATATTTCAACAGTATGAAATAATGCAAGAGACATTGGTTCTTTCACACCTCCTATATAAGGCTTGCTCGAAAGGGTAGACCACAGAATGAAGGTTTAGGAGGTGTCTGCATAGTGTTGTCACAAAAGTTGAGCATCCGCCCACTCGCTTATGCCATGGATAGTACAGCCTCCTAGGAACAGGGTTCTTGCCCAGGCTCTTGGCTGTTTGCAGAAAAGTGCAGAGTTACTGCCTGTCAGCAATGTAAGTTGAGATCACTGGATAGTGACACTCTCAATGCAGAGATGCTGATGTGATTCCAGTGTGGAAATTGGTGTCACTGCTGTGGTGAACTGTTATGTAGACTCCCGCAGTACTGGACACAATATATTTCTGGAGGAGAATAGCAGTCCCTCTATTTTAAGCTCTGATTCCTGGGCCAAGAGTGAGGCAGTCCCTTGCTGTAGAATATACAAACTTTCCTAATGTTCCTCTGTATTCAGCTCTCTGGTAGTTGTAGTCCAATCGGCACTCAGGAACTCAGGAACACAGCATGTACTAGCTACTAGACTCAAGATCCAGGACTCTCCAATGTACAAGAGCTGTAGCCACTCTAACAAGAAGTGATGTAGCAGTCCCAGTATTGGGCACTAGGGGGGAAAAGATTAGTGTTTGATATTCTTATATAATTTATATTCGATTTTGTAATTCTATTTTACAGTGAAAGATCTGAAGAATGAAGATGATTAATCAAGACATTTTAGCAGTTTTTTCCCATAAGTCATTATGGCTCAAGGAGAGGGTGAATTTCAATTAAATCTTTCTATGGTGAAATGTATTTTTGAACTCTTCCTTAAAAGAAAAAATGGAATTATGTATTTGAAACCCATTTTGAAGATTCTTGTACAGGTTGTATGCAACCAGCAGCTGCACATGGATAGATCAAAAATAAAATATTTAGCTCTTTTATTTGACATGTAAAAAGTGTGTGTCTGTCTGTCCTGGGTTCCTCCTGGTGCACGACATGCCTGGCCTCATGTGGAGAGAGTATGCAGGCAGTTCCTGGAGGATGAAAGAATTGATACCATTTGAATAGCCCCCCATGCCTGCCTGTCCTAAATCCAATAGAACACCTCTGTGATATCATATTTCTGTCCATCCTACACTGCCAGGTTGCAGACTGTCCAGGAGCTCAGTGATTCCCTGGTCTAGATCTGGGAGGAAATACCCCAGGACACCGTCCATTGTCTCAGGAGCATGCCCTGATGTTTTCAGGCATGCATACAAGCATGTGGGGGCCATACAAACCTACTGAGTACCATATTTGAGTTGCTGCAATTAAATTTCAGCAAAATGGACTAGCCTGCTGCATTTTTTCACTTTGACTTTTGGCGTGTCTATGATGAAAAATGATCAACCTACAGAGGACTGAATTCAAATGATGGGGCATCCTTGCGTAGTTACCCAGTCCATATCTGTATAGA